GATTGAGATTATGAGAACAAGATGTTCATTTAGTGAAAGCTGCTTTTTAAGAGTTGTGAGCTTTTCAGTTCAGCAGTTTATGAACAAGTTCTATACAACCAAAGGTACACAGAAGGATGAATCAGGTCTGCAATGCTTGAGTGGGAAAAGCTGAGTGATAAAAAAATGCTTGCTTTGAAATTGAAATAAGAAAATTGGGCCTGTTGTTCATAAAGGAATTTAGATACTGAGATTTCTTTAAGATCTGTGATTTAATCTTGTCTTCCTTCATCACCTCCAATAAATGAATAGGAGCAAAACATACATTTTTATGGGCAGAGGAAGTGGCTTTGAAAGGAAAGCAAAGTGCCGTTGTATTTCTTTTATTCCAGAAGATGAATGTTATTTCATTAAAGGCTGGGAAAATATGTTTCCGTTATAGCTGTTATTATCTCATTTAAGTAATTTATCAGCATTAGATTACTGAGCCTGTGCCATTGCAAGTGCAAGATGTAGCTCGTGTTCTGGTGTGTCTATCAGAGCTGCAGGCTCAGACTCTGCTCTGGGAGTTTAATTAAAACCAAAAAATAAAAAAAAGTGCCTGCTCACAGTCACCGCTGTCTCTTTGGAGATCAGCAGCACTTTCAGCTCAATAATAAAATAATTCAGTGTACAGAAGATAAAATGTGAGCCGCTGATAAACTCACTGGCAAGTTTTAAGAAACTATTCTATGAGGAAAAGCATTTTTTTTTAATTCATGTGGTCTTTTACAGCTGAATGGAAGAATCTTCCATGCCGGCCGAAAATACCTGTGTGACAAGTGAGCTGGGTAATGGTAACACCTCGTCTGCACTGCTTTTAGAGTTGCACCCAATTAAATGATGGCTGGTTGGAACAGATGGTTCCTGAAATCAGAGAATAACCAAGCCAACTGGGACAAAATTTAGTGGTTGTCTCAAGGGTAGGGAGCACAAATTGACACTTGAGAAAATATGGAATAAAGGAAATTAATGGATGCATTTACAGACCCATCATTTTCCCCCCCCTTAAGTACTGGATAACATCAAGGGGCCATGAAAACTTGAGTTTAGATGATGCAACTTCCCTTCTGCTGAATTTGCAACTCCAGGCATTCCCTGGTATATTAACGTGATGAGCCACCAGTCAATTAAGAGCTTCTTAATGAAGAAGAAGAGTTCACAAGCCATCAGCATTTTGCTAATTATAGGAACAGCTGTTGGACAAACACTGCCTCCAAACTCTGGAGTTTGTAAATGGCATTAACACTGCAGCTTAATGCTGATGTTGCCTGCAGTGATAATACAGGATTCACTTGAGCATCAAAGTTTTTATAGCTGCTAAGAATTTCAGTTTCTTGGTTTATAGAAAGCAGGTTTTGCTCACCTCGTGATCAGGGACAACATCTTCAAAAGTTACAGCTAAATACTTTTCTTTCTCCATGAAATCCAAGCAGTATATCCCAGAGTCTGTACTTGAAAGGGAAGTCTGAAAGGGTTATTACTACTCAGGTACACATTTTAATAGACATACAACCCAAATATGTTAAATTAAGGTGTAAACCTACTATGTGGTTATTAGACTTGAGTTTTGAATTCTGTTCATGCTGTCATTCAGTTAATAAACTGTATTTAACGGGTGAGAATTGTTCAGCAGCCCTCATTGCTGGACTTTGTTCTCCCACAGAGATATTGCTAATTAAGGAGAGGCTGGGGTCATTCAACTTATTTGGAGGGGGGGGAACCCAAATCCAACCTGCAGGGATAGTTTTTCTACAGACACGATTTCAGTATTTGGATGGTTTGGATAAATGTTATGTTGAAAGCTGTCCTTTGAAAACTGAAGCCTCCTACTCCCCCAGTCTTTCCTTCTTGTGCACGAAGCTGGTTTTCACCAGCAAATTTGAATATGTGGATACAATCCTTTGGGCTTGGTACAGCATGTGATTCCAGGGTTTATTTTTGCACTTCTCCCTAAGATGCCTTTGAGGAACAGGCCTGAGCTGTGTGCGATCAGTGATGTGCTACCTTAGGAGACAGGGAGGGCAACCAGAGCGAGGACAGAGGAACCAGAAGAGAAGGAGTTCTGACTGTTTGATTAAAATACTAATTTCCATATATGATTGAATTACTGAGATTCCCTGAGATAAAGGTTTCGAATTCAGGCTAAATTCCAGCATTGCAATTAGCAAGAAGTTGAATCTGCAGCCTTTCGGTCATTTAAAAAATCCTATAATCACTTGATCATTTGTTGTATTTTCTTATACAGTGTCTGACAACCAGATACTTGTAAAGAGATATGTTTTCATGCTTTGAGTGTTCTTAAAGCTATATTGATTTTGTTTTACATTGTAGCTTTGTTTGTTTGTTTGTGTAAACCTTCCCTTTCCCCTCTGGTGGAGTGTTTGCTTTTGAACATGGTCAGCTTGAATGCATAAAACTCCCTCATAAAAGTCCCTCAGGGGCATATGCTTAGGAAGAGGGGATGTGATAGGTATCATATGGTGCAAAGGACCTTGGCTCTGTTTTGTCTTGTCTCTTGTAAAGAAATTATCTTCAAATGACAGTTTGGTGACAGTTTGTCTTCAGTTTCTCTGTCACTGAAACAACGTCATTGAATTCAACTAAAAATCTGCATGTAAGGAAACAAAACATTTCACAAGATTACTGGATCCATTGGAAAAGCCCACAGATGCAAAATGAATATTTCCTGGCATGGTAAGACTGCAGGAAACTGCTGCTGTTGCCTGCTGAGGGGATTTTGTCAAAATGGATTTGAATTTGTAATGTACTGAAGTGAGTAAATGGCTGAGGCAGAAGTGCCGACAAAAATGCTTTTTAAAGGCTTAAAAGAACAGGGTAAAGGACAAACCAGTGACAACCTGCTGAAGAATTAGAGTTGGCAAACCAGGAAAGAAAACACAGATCTGAGTGCTCCCAACTTCCAGGACTTCTAAGCTTTAAAACACAGTGCTGAATTTTTTGAGTGTTTAATGGAAATAGTGCCTGGTATTTGTATGGGAACGTATATAATGTATGGGAATTGTTGGATTACTCTTCCTGTAGGCAAGAACTTCTTATTCTGCACTGTGATCGATATTCAGTTGTATGGAAAGTGTCTTGAAGTGATGTGCAGTGCAGTAATTTAATTTTGAGGTAAACAAAATTATGAATCAAGGAAATGAGAAAGGACTGCTCGTGTCTTCTTAGCCAGAAACAAATGGAATATAATTGTGTGGGCTTAGCTGTGATCTGAGCTTCCAGCAATAACGGAGATGTCAGCATTTTTAGTGTCCTGTTGAGAGCAAAGATGCTTTTCTCAACCAGAATGTCCAGATTTACCCCTTATGTGGTTAGTTCTTTCACCAAGGTCATTTAAAAATAAAAATATATTTTTGTGTCTTTATGGGCACATGCACATCCCAGGACAGGGTGCAGTGCTAAGAGCCATCTTTCAGTCCTCAGAGGGAACTTTTTGTGCCTGTCAGGATCTGTGCTGGAGACAAACCTCATCCAAATGCTCTTGACTGAGGCCTGGAGATATCCAAGGGTTCTGTCACCGTGAATTCCTGCGCTACCTTCTCCTTCCCCCTGCTGTACCTTTAGAGAGAAGGTCTGTTTTCCTGACAGCAGAAGATGTGGAAAATGTGCTGAAGTTTGCTGAAAGGAATTTAAAAGGGAATATTTTGGTCTTGGCATGCAACTCAGTTGTAAGGAGAATCGTTTTGCTGGCATCCATCTGTTGCAGATTAAAATAGGTTGGGCCCAGGGTTTGGGAAGCGAGTGAGTGCGGCGTGATAAGGGACCGAAATAAACCCTCTGGAATGGGTTGGGCGACTGGAACAAGTGGGAAACCAGGAGCTTTCAGGGTATTCTCACCAAGTGAAGGAGTGGTTCTACCCAGTGTTTGTGACAGGGAGGTGGATTTTAGTTGAGGAACAGGCTCGGCCGGAGGCGTTCCGGAGGAACACCAAGTCCTGGTCCAATGGTGTGCGTGCCGACCTCTTCCTCTCCAATCACACCCCCACCAGACAGGCTCCCAAAGTTACTGAGCTGCTGTTTGCAACTCACTCCCACACTGTTTATTGAAGTATGAACGTTGCTGCTGTCTCTGAGCGTGTTCCCAAATGCTTGTGCTGTTTAATCGTTATTTCTCTTGCACAACTTTGGTTTTTTTCCCACTCTCCAGGTGCCTTAGGAGCCAATTTACCTGTGTGGAGGTTCAAACAGTGTTATTCCATGTCATAATCATAGACAAAGGCAAGAGGGCTGGTGCATTTCACACTGCCTTGTTTAACAGTTCATCCCACAACGTGACTGAAAAATGAAAACGTGTTTTTGCAGGTTTTTTAACCTTGTTTTTCACTGGGTGATTACAGGCAGTTTGGGGCTGGGCAGGTTTACAGCATGATCCTGGGCTCAGCCTGGAGCACTTGGTTATAGGGTTTGCTACATTTGCAGTGCTGCCCACTCTGAGTATGTATATCTAAAAATAACATATTAAAATATATATATAAATATTATATATAAATATTATATATAAATATATAAATAACAGATATAGAGATCTATAAATGACATATAAAATTATATATAGGGGACATATATATACATACATATATGTGTATATATACACTTACACACATATATATATGTATAACACCTCAGAAAACGATGGCTGGCAAGTTGAAGCATTTATTCTTGTTGACAATATCAGTTGCTATGAGTTATGGTGGGGTGTTTCTTTTTTTTTGGTTCTTCCTAAATTTTGAATTCCAGCAATTACTGCACTATTTTTCTCACTCCAACAGGTCTGCAGTTCTTTCGGGCCGTTATTACCTAATTTGAGTATGTTAATTAATGCAGATATAATGCAAAGTCAGGGATTTTCACTGTTATATTCTCCTGCAGCATAAAATGTGGGAACCTTTCACCAGTGATGAAGTTGTGCTTTCTTTTAAGCAGAAACTAATTGGAGATTTTTTTTCCTTCTCTTCTCACAGTCTGATAGCAATGCAAGCTTCCTCCGAGCTGCCCGAGCTGGCAATCTGGACAAAGTAGTGGAATACCTGAAAAGTGGAATAGACATCAACACCTGCAATCAGGTAAGATATTTGAAGGACAGAAGTTTGCAAGGGTGAGTTGCAAGACACCTCCCCATCAAACCCTAGTTTTTCCAGGCTGGATTCCTTCATACTAGTGTTTTGATTCACCTCAAGGCATGTTTTCAGTCTTGCTCTTCAGTGGTTTCTTGTTTAGTATATGGTTTTTTACATACTCAGTGTATTGTGTTTAAGCCCTTTAGAAGGGGACATTTTGAGTGTCACTGGGTCAAATACAGTTCAACATCTGCACTCACATTTTTGCTTAACATAACTACCTTTCCTTTCAGGAAAGTTATTACTGCTGTAAAAACACATAGTTAAAGTGTCACCGTTGATGTGACTGTAATGGGACAGAATGTTTTACCTTGGCTCTTTTGTAGGTCTGTCATATAAATCCAATTACTTTGGCTTCATAGCTTAGGGACCTACATTTGCAACGTTTATTTAAGTGACTGGAACCATCAAATTTAATAGGACTGTGACCTAAAATAAATATGCAAATAAACGTCTGCATCAGTCCTGAAAAGTGTTTTGAGGTTCTAGTGAAATCAGTGCAGTTTTTTGGTGGGGGAATTTGACAGCTCAGGCTTTATGATATCCAGCTTTCCCCTAACTCTTAGCCAGGTGGAATCAAAATAACCACTAACTGGATGGTGGCTATGCCTCCTGGAAGTAAAATCCCAGAATTGTGGCCACTTTATTTTGGAAAAAAAGAGTAAATTGAAGAATAAGAAACAAAATAATCTAAAATGTTTGGAGGCATCACCTTCCCTGCTGAAGGAAAGCTGCAGGTGATTAAAGTAGGGATGTGTCACATGGAAGTTGGGGCACAGAGCTGAGAGCAGCCCTGTTATCTGTGCCAAGGAATTTAATGATGAGGAAAATAAGAGGCTTTTCATGTGCTGCTTATTGAAAACATACAGAAAAGATCCTTCTCTTATTGTCTAGGAGAAAGTTCCCATTAAAAGCCTTGCTGTCAAGGAAAAACTTGCTGAGTTATATGGGACATGACCTGGCAAACTTCAAGTTCCCCAATCAGGACAGAGTAAATCAGACTGAAGTCTGATTTATATTCAAATAGATACAGCAAATTTTCCATTTTTATTATAAGCGCCAATATTAACAAAGATATTCACCCCCAGGACAGAGCACAGTTAATATGGTAATTACTTGGGAACATTATGAGGGTTTTTTTCCAGCCAGTTCATTTTCTCTTGCTGGTTATGAGAGGAATATGAGTGGGGTTGCTGCAGATTTATCTCCTGAGGAAAGTGCTTCCCACCTGCAGCTGGTGCAAAGCTCCTCTTGCCCTGCGTGGGTGGGATCAGATCCAGGTGAGTGCAAACATCAGCAGAGAGGCTGTGGAGTTTCTTAGTGGTTTGAAATAGGTGAAGCACTTGTGGGTGTTAATTATGGGGGGGAAAAAAAATAAGTGGTTGACTAGTGTGCAAAACAGGAAAAAAAACATATTAACGTGATTTAAGTAAGTAATGTGACTTGATGTTCCAGTTAAGGTAACTCAGGAGTTTTCTAGACTGTAGGAAGTGTTTTGAGCTCTTGTCAAACAGTACAAGCCAAAAAGTGCTAAAACAACCCCTTCAGATCCATGAATAAAAATAATGTCTAATTTAGGTTGTCTGAGCCCTGTTTGCCAGGGAAAATTTCCCTGTTTGCCAGGGAAAAAGCCAGTCTGCTTCCCTGAGGACATTGATTACTGTATGGGAATTCCCAAGTATGAGGGATGAACTGAGACACGGGCATCCTGCACCCTCATGACCAGTGACTCAAATTCCTTATCCTTCACCATCCATTGAGCACAAACAGGCACTTCAGCTCCTTGCAAACTCCAATTCTGATGCCGCAGAAAATTCCTCACAGAGATTTTTGGTAACTAGAACCCTCAGCTTCTGCTGATTGAGCATCACTGGTGTATTGTAAATTTTATTTGGAGTGGGAGCAGCCTCCTCTGCTAGAGGTTAAAGAATAGAGAGTAAGCCATGGCAGCTCCTTCTGCAGCCTTCCAGTTATTCCTCCTCCTCCTCCTCAGGGCTTGACTGGGATGTCCACACGGTTGTGTTCCAGCTGTCTGTGGGGAGAAGTTAACACAGCACAGTCTGTGCAGAATGCAGGGGTGTCTTTTATTTTTAAGACTGAGCCATCTCAATGCTCTTTCACAAAAGAAGCCTTGTTACGTGCAGGTTATTTTTTTCCCCAGTATAATGCTATTTTTAGACGAGATCCCATCTGGGAAAACCGTCCATAATGTTAAGAATAAGCTTTCCTGAACACAGGGAACACCAGGAGGTGCTTTCTCAAGTTTAGTGTTTGTTTCTCAGATCCTAAGTTTTTTCAGAGAGGTCTGTCTTTATGGAGAATCAAAGTCTTTTTCCCAATGTAACTGTTTCCCAAATCTGATGGAGCTTAATGTTTCTGGATATACTGAATACAGGGAGTCATTGCTAATATATAGTTAATAATTAATTATTATTTAATTATGCTTTGTTTAATGCTGCCTTCATAACAAGTTCAATTATTATGGAATTGCACCATCATTTTTTTTCCCTGAAAATCATAAATCAATTATGTTTCTTTGTTTCTGGAGAGAGTTAGAAATGTCAGGGAACAGAATTATCCTGTTTTAAGAACAGTCCCTTAAAAAAAAAAATCTAATTCCTGGTATTTTATAGGATGGATAACTGATATTCATTGGAAATTGCTGATTCCTGTTCAGCTATTGTGACAAATGTAGGTTTTTTAGAATGTGGTTGTTGTTTCTAGTAAAGTAGCAAGAGAAAACATGACCTTTAATTTGACACTCTGCATTTGGGCAGCCCAAGGTTCCAGCAGGAGTTAGACCCCAACACCTGATCAGTCCAAGGGTTCACCAGCTGCCTGCTCCCTTTTGAAAGAGAATTGATGATCCAAAGGCAATATAAAGTGATGTTTCTCCATCTTGTGCTTGGAGACCTGTCCGTTGTTGTGGTGACAGAGTCGCTTCCTTGGAGGGAAAAATTTGCTGGATTTTGGCATTTGTTCTGAAGTCTTCTGCATTCCTAGAAACAGATGTGAAGTCTGATGCCTTGAACAGCACAGGATTCAAATATTAGGTGGTTTGGGGGTGCTCCAGGGCTCCAATTTAGGTCTGCTTGGCTTTGGCTCTCGTTTTGTTGGCTTCTTTCTAATTCGGCTGGTGCCTCTCTTGATGTTAATTCCCTCCCTTGCTCCAAATGGAGAGGCACTCCTGCTCCCAGCAGTGCCAGCTACAGCCTGAAGTAGCTCTGTGTCATAAATGAGGTCTGCAGGATCACCTTTGATGTCACTCAGGGGGTTAATTCATTTTCTCGAGTTTGTAGACTAGAAAGCCACACAAAGGGAGAATTTTCATCATCTGAAATGATTTTTCTTTTCTCGACAATTCACTTCGTTTCTTTGTGGTATTTTTAGGAAAAACTTCAATGAACCTTCGGACTTGAGAAGGCCCTTTCCCAAATCTTTCTTGAAGAGAGTTTGACCACACGCACTTTTTACCTCCCCAAGAGATTTATTCGGCAGCAACCTCAGACTGATATCTATTAAAGAGACAGAGAAAAGAGTTTGACTTTAACAAAGACCATGGTGTTTATTTTTAGTTTCTGCCTCTACTGGGGAGTTAATTTTCATTGTGTTTTTAAGTTATGCTTTGGTGTTGGCCTTTATCATAGAATCATGGAATAGTTAAGGTTAGAAAAGACTCTACATATGTATAAGTCTGTGACCACAGCATCAGTGGAAGGAACTTGGTGAAAACACTTTGCATTTCATACTGGGAGAATGTGGAAACATTACAAAAACAGGGGGGTTTATTGTTTTATTTTTGTTGGCTTTCATGATGTTTTTATCTGTAAATTGCTTAAATGTCATTTTAATCTTTTGTGGCAAAGGCAGGGGTAGGTAGAAACTCAGCTCTTGGCAAATCTTCCTGCAAAGTGTTGTATCCCAGCTTGTAACTCTCTGGGAGTTACAGAGGGTCAGACTCTTCACGTGAGGAAGGATGAGGGTTAATTTTGTCAACATACATTCTTGCTTCCTAAGATATTAAGCACTTAATGAATACCTTCAAATGGAAGGGAACTTCAGGGAAGTAGGAATTGTTATATTCAACGAATGTTGTGAGGCTGGTGATTTAAAAGTTGTAAGGCTCTGCAGGGAGACACTTGAAGAACCAAGCTTGGAAGGCTTAGTATGGTGCTCTTTCATGAGAGTTCAAATTACCAAGGAGCCTCCAGGAGAATGGCAGTCAGGGTATATGTGTGCTTTGTCCTCATGCTGCACAGTTCTGCTTAGCAGACAACTCATTTCACCCTCCCCAACTTTTTGGTGGGCACGGGAGAGGAAAAAAAAAAAGAGACGTGTCAGAAACCTTTGTTGTTCTGAACTGGAAGAATCCAGTTGACAGGAACAGAGGAGTTGCATTGATTAAATCTGAGATTCCATCATCAGAAGTGGCAGGGATCAGCCACGTGGGCCGGGAAATAATTGCAGCGTTGGTTCTGATTAGGGAGGAACAGAACAAAGGTTGCTTTAAGGCTTCAGTTGTGCTGGCCCTCAGCATTTAAAGTGCAGAGCTTGCTGCTGCTTACCCCAGCTTGCTTTATTTAGGGAATTACGGAGTTTGAATGCGTGTAGTGGGAACTATATTTAAGCTGGAGTTTCTTCCTGTGACCTTTTTACTGGACCTCAAGTATTCATTGAATTAAAAAGTTGCAAAGAAACTCATATAATCTATACAGCAATATCAGCTTTCAGGTGCTTAATGTGGCATCAGCAGATATGTGTCTCAGAGGGAGGAATACAGGTATTTTAAGAGATTCCTACTGATTAAGCACTGGGACAAGCCTTGCTCTCTCCATCCTTTGGCATGTGGTAAACTAAACTGGAGGCTTATCCTCATCCTTTTGCATTCAGAGGAGGGTATGGGCCATGAATATTGCAGTTGCTGTGCTGTTTGTGGACTCCAGTCTGCTCCCAAAGAGTTGGAGAGGTTAATAACATGTCACAGCAGTACATCAGCCGTGTACAGCTGTAAGGAGCCCAAGCTGCTCTTTGTATTCCCATGGAAAGTGTTGATGACAGAATCGGGGAGATTAGATATGAGAACGTGTCTTAGTTCTCAAACAAGGAGAAGAACACTGTGTTTCCCCACAAAACACTGTTTCAAAGCTCTCAGCCACTGTAGGTAGTAATTATGGTTAGTTAATACTCAGCTGAGATTAAAACCCAGGAAGATTAGAGGTTTCTGAAACCTCCTCAGCCTGCAGAATATTCCCTGACATGTGCAGCGTTCCTCATCTTGGTGATTATGGTCAACCTCACCACGTATTTTTGGCCAAGGATTTGTCCTTGATCCAGGGCACGGCACTACTGCCACCCCTGGGCTCTGCAGCTCTGTAGTTAAGAGTGTTCCTCTGGATTAAGGAGGATCTGGTTGCTGCTGCTTTTCCCACATAATGGGATTTGAAACCGCATTTCTCATTAACATCTCCTAACTGCCAGGCTGCAGGAGGGTGTTCCTCTGCTTTTGGCAGCCTGTGAGTGTAGCCTTCCTTCAGTTCCTCTGCTTTTCTCATAGTTCCACTTCTGAATTTGACCACAAAATCTGCCAGTGCTGCTCATGTGGACGTGGAATTAAATGGAGTTAGTGCAGAGCTGCCTTTGGATTGCTGTGTCCCAGGCCATTGGACCCACTCCCATCAAATGCCTCCTGTGAAGTGCTAAGTGCTTTAAAATCCCGTTGGGAATCGCAAGCCTCAACTGCCTCTGTGCACGGACAAAATGAAAGCCAGAAAGCTGCTTGTTTAGTTCACAACTGAAATGACTCTGAAGTGCTCAGAGATGAGCAAAGTGACAAAAATTACACAGTGCTGCATTTGCTGCTGGTGACTCAAATACCTGAGCATTGCTCCTAGTGCTTCCAGTATGGAAAACAGGAGAGTGCTGCAGGGAATGGCAGGATGTGTCCCCGTCACCTGCCCGACGTAGCATGAAAATTATTGTAGGATTGTGAAAAACAGGTTGGCAATTCAGCTACAATAGACTGTCATTTTATTTTTTTTCCCCTTGGGTGGAATGGGGGTACTAGGAAGAAGAAGATAAGATTTCCATGACTGGAATTTGTATGAGATAAAGTATCCTGTTCTTGTTTAATGTGGAAAGGATTTAGATGCTGACTTTCTTGGGTTGCTTTTTGGACAGTCCTAGCTCTTATTTAATTTTGTTTTCCTTTTTGAGGTTTCAAAACCTCAAAGTTTAGTGAAGACTTGCTCAGAAACCAGCAGGGGTGCCAGATCAAGGATAATTTGGAAGCCACAAATAATCAACAATCATTTTGGTCTATTTGTGCTTTTGGGTTTCTGTTTATCCCAGAGGAGAGTCCAGGGTTCAGCTACATCAGCATGGAATAGTCCTGATTGAATAGACATATCCTGTGTAAATTTGGCTAAGTCCTGTGATTTCTCAGTGTTGATAATTCCTCAGGGGAGCTGGATAAGGTTACAGTAAAGAGAAGGCAGAAACGCACTCAAGTTTTGAAATACTGAGCTCCACGGAGATGCCCAAGGTAGGGGGGAAATGGGAAACTGTTAGAAAGGAAGGAATGTCTTCTGGATCCTCACAAAATACACTTTGTTTTGATGTCTTTGTTGCTATGAGAAAAACATCACTGGAGAAATTTGTCACACAGAGCCATGTCCAAAATATCTGACTTATGTAGACGGCCAGCTAAGAGATGTAACAGTACTCCAGCTCCTAATCTTCCTCTTATCCCAGGGCAAGGTAGGAATGTGTATCTGATATTTGTAATGGATCTGGCCCTTGTGCTTGCAGAATGGACTCAATGCTCTGCACCTGGCAGCCAAAGAAGGCCACGTGGGACTGGTACAGGAATTGCTGGAGAGAGGGTCGGCCGTGGATTCCGCCACTAAGGTAATTCACACTTGTCTGCAAGTTTATTCCCAGAAAGAAAAAGTCAAACACATGGGAGAAATACAGGCAAAAAATATAAATACATTGCTGATATTTAAACTAGTATTTCTGTTTTGGACTGGGAGCCTTCTTTGCTGAAGCCCATCGGTAGTAAATGAAGAGGAAAATATTATTTGTACAATAATACAGGGGAAGCTTTAAAAGTGGCACTTTTTATAAGTGCCAGATTTTTCCTTATTTCCAGTGACAGGTCTCCATTAGACAGAGAGTGATTTTTTTTTTTTCAAATCTGTGAAAATTAATCAGTGACTTTACCATATCCAGAACCTTTTCTCTCGTGGGCACAGTGGAAAAAACACCTGTGGGATGAGTTGTTTTGCTTTCAGCCTTTGCACAGGCAGGCACATGAATCTGATTGTAACAAAAAACTGCTGGTTGAATTGATTCCTGAAGAAGGGTAATAATATCTTTCATTTTTTTCCCCCTTCCTCCAACAGAAAGGGAATACAGCCCTGCACATTGCATCCCTAGCAGGACAAGCTGAAGTTGTCAAAGTTCTGGTGAAGGAAGGAGCCAATATTAATGCACAATCTCAGGTATGGTGCTGTTTTCCCTTTTCTCTTCTAAAAGTTACTTGGTGAGGCTTTTTAAGGTAGATCTGAGGTTTTAGGCACTGATTCCAAATGTCCAAACCTGACAAAACAAGGGAATTGAGGCGTTCACTGGTAAGCAGAATAAAAGTAAATGACAAATTGAAGTCATTATATGCTTACTGTGTCAACAGGAACTCGTTGGTGGTGGTGATTGAAATGTTTTAGGATTTCCTGGTGTGCTTTAATAACTTGTTTCAGAAATTTTTCCAAGCATATAAATATTATATTTGAGTGGACTTGATGAGCAGTAACAAAGAAGAGCATTTCTCCATAACTTCATCTATACAATTGCTTTATATGGTTATTTTTTGGCTAAAAATTTGCTGATAACTTAACTCCAGGCTTCTGAACTCCTTCCTTATGTGATCAGGAAGAACTTTAATCAGAGAGGTTTGTGATGTGCATTTGAACTGGGGAAAGTCACCTTGTCCTGGCAGGGAAACCAGCTGTAGAAACTGTAAAGAGCAGGAGATGAACAAACAACTTTACTAAGTAAATAGGTTTGTCTGTGCCTCCATCACATTTAAAATCAACACAGAGAAATTGAAAAGATGTTTAAGCTGCCTGACCTGAAGATTTAAAAAATAGTCTTTATTATGCTTTTTGCCCCAAAATAACTCCCAAAGAGCTCTCTGGGGACAGCTGGTGGTCAATTATTCCCCATGCTCTACTCCCAATAAAGATAAGAAGTGGTGCAATTCCATTGCTCAAAAACTTAGCAAACTCCTGTCATAATGAGCAAACTGGATGAGTTTCTTCATGCTTTCTTCAGCCTTTTCATGTGTATTAGAAGATAAAGTAATGTCTTTAATGTCAGGGTTTTGGGTATTTTAAGAGAAATAATTTTGAAGAATGTTACTTTCACAAAGCTTTATCCCTCAAAAAGTCTTAATGAAGGCTTTTCCTTACGCTGGAAAAATGAATGAGGTTTTCTAAATTAAAAAAAAAAAAGAAAATCCAATTGGAATTGGAAAATGTTTTCCCAGGTATTATTTTATATAGTATTCTGGTTTGAAACACATTTGTTGTTAGCAGTGGATGCCTTGTAATGCACACAGAGGTGCTAACAGGCATTTGCTACTTGATTTAATTGAATTAATGTGATGGAGGACATTTTTCCCCCCATTACTGCTCCCGGGTTGCCTCCAGACAGGATGAATTCCAACTGCTGGAATACATATGTCCTGGATTTGTGACACACTGTCTTAATTAAACAAATCCTGTTGACTTGGCTGGGAGGGTGAGTCCTCAATGTGGTGTCATCCAGCTTTGGGGCCTCTGGGTTGGGTCTTTCTGGCCCGCTGTGCTTTTCCAGAAGAGATGGATAAGATGGGTAATAGCTGGATTACATCTCCTCAGGCAGCCGGGAGGTGTTCAGAGGCTCCTGGTGCAGCTGCCAAGGAGGAATTCCAGTGGAAGGTGTACTTTGATTATAAAGGAATTTTTTTATGCTCCACGAATGGAATGAGGATGGCAAATGCTGCCTTCCTGCTCAAGGTTGCACTGACACATCAGCAATCACATACGTCATAGAAAACTGTGGTGAGGGGAAACAGTTTTCCCCCTGGAGTTAAAAAAATGGTAACCCCCAGGGGGTGGTGACCCTGGGGTTGAGCCAAAATATAAACATATCAACAACCAGACCGGAAAAAAGAAGGTAGTTGTAGTTGTTGTTGTAAGAGAGGTGGCCACGTTGTAGAGCCACGAGGAGCAGGGGCAGGAGCCCCTCTGGGGGCCACGGTCCCCCAGCCCCCCAGCTGGGGGCTGCAGGAACTTGGAACAGTATTAAACTGGGCCGAGTTCTGTAGCCGAGAGCTGGGGGAAGCTTCTGTGCTGTGGGCAGCAGCAAGAGATACTGAGAGCAGCAGCAAAACAGCACTGACCGAGGAGTGGCAGAGAGCCAGCAGAAGATAAGGAGCAGCTAACCAGAGAGACACAGAGTTGTCTGAAGAGAGGGAGAGAGAGAGCAGAACTAATCTCTATGGACAGAGTTCTGGGTAAGAACTGAAAACCAAAACTTCCCCAACTCCTTGGAGACCTCTCATAGAGAGGAGGGGTGGTGGACTCCCACCTGAGAGGAGTCCTAAAATGCAGCACCCAGAGAGACAGAGAAGAGCTAAGAAGCTCAGCCGTCCCAAAGAGCTGGATGGGGACGGCCAGAGGAATGCAGAGGGGGTGACCTTGGCCCTCCCTCACTGCTGCTAAGCCAGCAGCCTGAGAGCAGAGCACAGAAGCTCTGCCAGGGGGCTTGAATCCCCTGAAGATAGGGACCGTCACGAAGGCTCCTGGACTTCGTTGGTATGATGTGGTGAAGTGACCTTTGTCCTGGTGAACACAACCCACTGAAGAGAAGACCCTTGCCTGGAGTCGAAGGGCCGAGAGGGGCATGGAGGCCTCCCTCGTGTGTACTGGCAGAGATCCAACCACAGCTGCTGCATGGAAGAAGAGAGCGTGATGCCCTAGAGATACTACTGCTCTAAGAGTGGAAAGGATCTCTTCCTTCTTCCCTCCTGGACTTTGATTTGGAGGAAGAAGTGATTTGATCCATTGTAAATACTGATGTATCATGGTAGAGATAATTAAGATTGTATATAATGTATTATAATATTTATGTGATGTGTACAGTCATTGTAATATATTTCCCTTCCCCCTTTTTGAGTCTTGTGTGGTGTCTGGAAAACCCCATCTCACACTGGGTTGAGATGTGGGAGGGGGGCTAGGACTTGGGAATTGGATTTTAGGGCTCTCAAAAACTATGACAAAAACAAAAACAGAAAAGAAAACCAGAAACTTCAAAATCAATAAAGAGTAGACGTGATTTATGATAAAAGTATAAAAAATTCAAACATACCTAACTACAGCTGGTCAAAAAATGAAAATATGAAGTTGTATAGAAAAAGGGAAAAAGAATATCCTCAAATACTCAAATACTAAGTTTTTTAGTCAGCAAATATGTAATTGATGAAAAGATGGAAAGAAAAATATTGTTTCAGGAAAGAGCTTCAATGACGAAGTGAGAAATGATCAAAAATACAAATTAAAGGTAAAATTGAATACAGAAGTGGCAAATCACGACTGAAATTCTCAGCTTGTCTTTCTCATGTTTTCCCCTCGATTCCATTTTTAAAAACAGGTGCTGTATTGTCACCCTTAAACCTTTCAGGAGCAGTTGTTGCTATTGGGGGTGTATGACATCCTCTCCTTGGTATCTCTGTTATTTCACACTTCATTTTTTGTAGGCCCCTGTGAAATGCTGTTTGCTGGTAGTGATTTAATGCCAGGGAAGTTACTCAGGTTGCTCCATCATTTCCTCTTTAAAGAACTTGGTATCTGTCAAGGTCATTCTCATTTCCAGTGATGACAATTTGCCATAGTGACAAAGTTTCTTCTCTGATGATGAACTGGTAGATAAAAGAGTAGTCACAACTCCAGTTTATTGGGTTTGCTTTCATTCTCTCCATTAAATGGCATAAAACCACTGGCTTTTATCAGAACTTATGAGCGGTGACATCTGAAAAACCACACTCGTTTTCCAGTTCCTTGCAACAAAGAAATAACAGAATTACCTCAGAAAATGCTATTAAACCCACTGTAACCACTGGGATTACAAACCCCATCTGTGCTATCTGAGGCTGTTAAGCATTCAGGGCTCTGATTTTATGGATTTGGGGTTTCTATTAGATTACTTTGCTTTGCCCTTCAGCTTCATATTGGCCTTCGGAGTTGTTATTTTGCTCATCTTCCTCTTTTATGAAGTCTGTTCCTTTTAGGCTAACGTGTCATCACTGCTATTTTTAGAGAAGTAATTTCTATTTTGATACAAAGCCTAATTGCACAGTGATTACTAGTTGAGTGACTCCACTTTCACCTCCATCTTTGTCATTTGAGAGCTCACATCTTCCTCCAGCCCCTTTCAGGCAAAGGCTGAAATGAGGGCACACCCAGAGATGTAGAAGTCGCTGGTCTTTTTTGGCATATCTCCACCTAGAATTGGACAAGTGTGCAATTATTTGGCTCAGTTAGAGTTGCTTTTTGCCACAAGTATTGCTGGAGTAGATATATTTATATAATCAGTGTCTACAAACCCTTCACTTGGCTGAGTCTGCTTATAGTTCAGTGGGCAGATCTAAATGGGCATCATCAAGTAAAAAAAGCAATTTCTGCAGTTTCTCTTCTTGATTTGACTGTGATTTTGGTCTTGTGTAGATCTGACCAGGCTGCATTCATTGATAATACGAAATCTTCTCTGGGCACTGGATGATGCAAACCAAAATGCAAAGTGGGTAATAGATCCACTGGGGTTTTCCAGGCTGTTCCTTTGAGCCTTATGTTTCCCTGCAGAGCACAACAAAGTCCATGGAACAATGTCATCTTTTGCACTCTGCATTCACTTGGGTGGGTGATCCCAACGGTACTTCTGAATTTCAGTGGGGAATTCAGATGAAGTCTTCAGGGAGCATTGAAATGTTTCATCAGGCAGACCCACGGAAGTGGGATTGGCCACTGGCTTCTCTCACATCCACCCACATCCCTGTCACACACTTTCACTGAGCCCAGTGCTATCCTCCTTTCACAGCTGGATCACTTCTTTACCCCAAACCTATTCTTAGTTATTGCTTATGCATTGGAAAAGCAATTATTTTTGTGCTCTTCCTCCCATTGAGTGTCTGCTCTTGTGACGTGTTCGGAATTCTTATGTGAGTTCTTGATCTTTTTTCCCAGGTGGAAGAAACATCACCTGATTTAGTCAGTCCAGCCCTTCCCTTTGAGAAATTCCCATTTATCTCTGTTGCTTTCTCTTAAAGTCAGATTGTACCATCTGACTCGTGTGCAGGCATCAGAGATGTCCCATAACAAGAGTATAAATCTGCCAAATGTGTTGATACCCCAAATGCAATCATCTTAATAACTGAGCCAACCTGTAGACTGTCCCTGCAGCAATG